TGTGCCTGGTTCAGTGGCTTGTGTATGGAGGGGGGGGGGAAATGCAAGGGACTTCCCAGAAAATGGAACTGAGGTCATGGGAGACTTGGGTGGGTGTGGGGACAGGAGCCAAGCAGCCCCATGGCTGAGCGAGCCCCGCCTTTATCACAGTCTGCCTGAACTTGCCCTCACCATGCCAGCACAGCCACACATTCATGAGCACCCAGTGCTCACCCATTCACTCCCAAAGGCTTCCTCCAACTCCCAGGAGAAATCAGCCTCGTGCCCTTGGGGACGACCTTGGGGAGATAAGATTCCGTGCAATTTATTAACAAGAGTGTTCACTAAACACCCAAACTTGGCTTTCTCTGTCTCAGCAAAGAATTCTTGACAGACCAAGCTCCCTGGGGAAACGCAGCAAGCAACAAGTCCCTGTGGCGTTTGAACAGCTGAAAAGCCAGCTGCCGGGAAGGTTCCAACCAAGCCGCCGCCAGCCAGCACACATTGACTGATTGATTCATGGAATCCAATTTGCAATATTACTAGTAAACATCAATACCCAAGTGTGTCGGCCCTACCTGCCAGGCAGTGAGGATGGGATTAAGAGCTGATTTCAGACAGCTGAGAGCCAGAGGGCCAACTCGCGGGGTGGAGGTGGGCAAAGTCCTGACAGTCAGAGGGCTCGGGGTGCAGGACCCCCAGGTTCCTTCTCCTTCAGCCCAAGTGATCACTGGGCCCCACGGGTGGGTGTGTGCCCACTGGATTTCAGGTTGTTGGCCTGGAGCATTTTACTGAGCAAATACTGTATGCACGGTACCTTGGCTCAGGAGTTAGAGAACCTGGGTCTGCTGTTCACGGGATGACAACCAGTTTTGTCTCCCTAGACCTCATTTCTTCAACTGTAATGTGGGGACAATGATGGTGACAGTGATTGATCACGACAGTTTCTATGGTAAGTCCTCACTTAACGTTATTGACAGGTTCTCGGAAACTGCGACTTTAAGCAAAACAGCGTTTAACGAAACCAACTTGACCCAGCGCTAATTGATATAAACGAGTTCAGTTCCTACAACATATTTCTGGTCACAGAAACCTCACTAAACTTCTAAATAAAAACCCTAGACACTTCTATTAAACATGGAAATAAATGTGAACTACACAGACATTTAAGAAAGATGAATAAAAACAAGATAATGATTTTCCAACCCACTTAGTTCAGGGTCGTGGGTGGCCAGAGCCTTTCCCAGCAGTTCAGGGTGCAACGTGGGAACCCACCCTGGACAGGACGCCCTTCTATCGCAGGGCCACTCACACCCACACTCACTCAGACAGTGTAGACACACCAGCTCACTTCACGTGAACAGGTTTGGGATGGGGGAGGAAACCCGAGTCCCTGGAGGAAATGCACGCAGACATGGGGAGAACCTGCAAACTCCACACAGACAGTGGCCCCAGCTGGAATTGGATATATATTTTTTTCTCATCAAAGTTATTATGAAANAGTGTCACTGGCCCTCATATGTGGGATCCGAACCGGGGCCCTCTGGCATCCCAAGCGAGTTCTTAACCACCGCACCACTCGGCCGGCCCAACGGTGTCTTTTTCAAAACCTTCCTTTCTGATCCTAGAGGTGACAATTATTTTCCTCTTGGAGAGCAGACAGCAGTTGTTGTTATGAGTAGCTCTCAGCCACAGATCATAGCAATAAAATATTGAACGCCTGTGAAGTTCAAGGGCCTGCACTAGGTGTTTGAGCCACACAAAAATGACCTGGACCCCAAGGAGTCCGGCATCTAGGTGGAAACAGGAAATGATTATCTACAAAACAAGGCACAGTGATTCAAGAGCCAAAGGCATGACGGGGCTACCCTGGCTTTTCAGGTCCTGAGCGCAGCCTCATTTGGGATGAGTGATTTGGACACAAACAGGTGTGTTGCTGAAGTCTGCTAACAAGCTTGACAAGCTGATTTTTCCAGTGAATGAGACTTGCAGCAATTTTTGTGACATGTTCCAGGGACTTACAATGTCTAGATTCTATCTAGTTTACTTGACTTTAAAACATACACTTTTCTTGAAGAAAGCATAACCCATGACTTCTGATTACCTACCGGACTTCTTGATCACTGCCATCATTTCAATCAACAAAAATAACAAAATGTGGCTCACGTGGTGGTGGTATCCATGGAGGCAAATGGGGACAGCCTCCTAATGTTGGCAGTTAGAGGTGTTTCCATAGCTTTTACCACTCTCAGAGCTTACACGTGTGTAAGCTAATAATACAGACTTTTTCATGGAAGGCTTCCCTTTTGGAGCGCCATAATACTGAGCATTAAAAATGTCTTGGCAGGAGACTAATAAGCCTCCGGGTCCTCCTGGTGGGGGGCGAGGACACAGGCATTATCAAAGGCGCCTCCTCCACCAGGTGTCACTGACTCTTCACACCCAGGCCGGCATACTGGGTGTTCATTACTCATCTAGTATTAGTCCCATTGGACAGAGAAAAAGAATACAGAAGCTAAGTACCTTGCTTGAAGGTGTAAAGCTGGAATCAGAACCTAGATTTGTCTTCCAGGCCTGCGCTTTCCAGCTTGACTATGCTGGATGAAAGCCACTGTCAGGTGTACACATGAGAAGTAGAATTGAGGGAGGGAAATTAACCAAGTGTCTCTAGTTTCATGCTTTACAAAGACACCCAGACTGCAGTGGCTGCCAAGTCTGGTACCAAAATCAGGGGATTCGCTGGCATCAGAAGCTGACACCCTACAATCTTCACTTACTACAACATACGTTTCTGAATGAATGCGTGCCTCTTCCAACAACTGATGTAAATAAATCCATTTGAAAACCTGTTATGCCTCATGAATTTCTGTCTCCTTGTATTTCACAGGCACAAATGAAACTGATGTCACAGGTGGTGCTTTTCAACACCCAACGTATTCCCTGTGCTTCAGGCCTCAGGTCATCTGATTTGTGTCCAACCCCTGAGTCTGGGAGGAGATGAGTTAGCTGATTGGGGACCAAGGGCACAGGAGTTTAGTTTGGGATCCGAGGAAGCTCACCTGGCAGTCTACTCCAGTCTACCTCCCTTGAACCATATCAGACCTGACTCCATGTGACTGTAACCCACAGGCAGCTCCTGGGACGGAACCAGACTCCCTAGTGTCCGTGAGGGTAAGGGATGAAGTGACAGGGTTCCAGTGAACCCCAACAGAGCTCTTCATTGAGACCATGAAGAGAGGAGAGCAGGCCGGCAGCCTTTTATGTATATGTTGTCAAGGATATATTCTTTTAAAAATTTAGCCAAGGTAAAAATGTAAAAGCTTTGCATTATGATATTTTCCAAACACACACAGAGGTAGAGAAAATTGCTATAACCAACCCTAATTTCCCAGATTCAGCAACTGTCAACGTTTTGGTCAGGCATGTTTCTGCTATCCTACCCCACCCCCTTAATTGGCTGGAGTCGTTTCAAGTAAATCCCTGAGAGCTTCCATTTCATCCGTTAATAACGATGCATCTAACTGACAAGGACTTTATGTTCCCCAAATAACCACCATGCCATTATCACACCCAACAAAATTAACACTATTTCTTAACACCCAATAATACCCAGTCCATGTTCAAATTTCTCAAAATTATCTTTTTACAGGTCAGCTGTATAAATCAGGATCCTAACAAGGTCCATGCATTTTTTTCCTCTTCTTTTTCTTACATTTTTAAGTGTCTTTTACTTGTTAACACTCTCCCCTCTCATTTTTTATGCTATTGATTTGCTGGGTAAATGTGTCCTGCAGACTTCAATCGCATTTTTTTTCCTAGAAATATATGAAAACAAACAAACAAGTGTATATTAAATGAGTGCCCTCAGATGTAGTAGCAAATCTCAAACAATGCATGAGACATATAAATGGACATAAACTGTCTAAAAAGAAATTTGAGAATATGTAGCAGGTATCTTAAAACTATATCACTATGTTTTTTTTGTTTTGTTTTTAGGGATATATTTCAAAAAGTATCAGAAATGTGACTAATTACGTACACTGATGTTCACCATACACCTTTACTTTCAATAATGAAATTCTCAGCAACCTAAGTATAATAGGTAGATTAAAACCTAAGACGATAGGGCCGGCCGAGTGGCGCGATGGTTAAGANAAAAAATACGTCATGACTTTTCCGACTACCTAATACTTAAGACACTTCTGCGTTTGGGCACTTCTGGCATGGTAAAGAAAATACTTGGGTTTGTCACCTGAAGGAAAAGGCAACTGTTGGGGGAGGGCTCTGTGGCTGTGTGGAAGAGCCCGACTTCCCCACATGGAGACTTGGATTCTCCTAGCTGTACACCAATCAGCCCTGAGAGCTCAGACAAGGAGCACTCCCTCCATGTCTGTTTCCTTGTGTAAAAACCAAGGTGGTTGGGTGGGGTGGTTCCTAAGGGTCCTCCCAGCTCTGATGCTTCCAGCTCACATTTCAGTTTCATTCGACATAGGTTTTCCCCTTTATCTCCTCTATCGCACCTGTCTTTCCTCACCGTTCCTGATAGTGCTGTGTGTACACCACTCTTACCATATGAAAACAACAGCCATTTCTTTTTAACTCTGCTCTCATCCCCAAAATGTTCTCTCCTGTATATATGAAGAAGAGCAACAGCCCTTGCGTGGAGGCTTTAACTACTTGGGAGTTTATGTAACTAGACTTGTTACAATCCCAGAAGGCAGAACTGAAACCGATTACACAAGAAAATCCAAATTTCATTTTCTGACCTAGAGTGTTTCTCCAGCCATAAACCCAAGATGATGCTCACCTTCAAGCAGGTTAATTTCCTGCTTCCTTTTACTCTGGCCGTAGTAAATGCCTGTTTAATCAGGTACCCCACCCCATGATCCACAATGAGCACTCATGTAATCTTAGTTAATAAAATGAGGATTCATTCCATTTCCAGTTCTAATAAATAATCGGCCATTATCTTTGCAATGGACCCTAAGCCCTGGTAAAAATGAAATGGACTCTGTGACCACTCAAAGGGAAAATGGTGAGCTATATTCTTTACTTTCCAAGGTGAGTCTCTCCCACCACTTTGCTGCCATTTTATAGGCCTGAAGCTGAATTTAGTTTTCTTATCACACTGAGGTCCCACAGACAAAGCTTTAAGATCTTAAAAACAAAACAAAAGAAAAACAAAAAGCCGGGAGGCAGGTATGAGGAGCAGAACAGATGGTTTCCTCAGCCTGGGCACCCCGAGAAATCTGCTCTGAAGGTGGTCCAGAGCTGACACATCTACAAACATTTTTTCCCCCTGCTTGTTTTGAAGGAGCTGGGAGAGGTGGTGAATTCAGAGTTCCAGGGATGAAATGAGGATCTTCAGGATTTTTACTTCCAAATGAAGAACAGAGCAGCAGAAAATCAAGGCTTACTTAAACCCCCCTCCCTTAGGCAGTTAAAAACCTGGAGCAGGGTGAGTCAAGAAACGGTGCAATGTCTTAGGCTGCTTTTGTGATTCGTTTTGAAAAAGACTGAATTTAAACTTAAGAGAATAAAGATACCGAGAAAGGCATTGAGGCTTCAACTTCCCACCGCCTGAAAGCTGCATTTTTTGGACCCAAACGATGAGACTGAAGCTAGAACAGCTCCAGAAGAACCCGGCCACAAGCAGAGCCGAGCCGGGTGACAGTCCTCTCGGCGGCGTCTCTCCCCTCGGCCTCCATGCCCAGTGTCCACGCCTCACTCCTACCTGTCCCCACTCGTCTCTGCCAGCCTATTGTTCATTATCGCAAAGGCTCCTACCCCCCCTGAGAATTCGTTGTCCCGGGACAGTGCGATCTGGTGGGGGCAGCCGTTGGCGGTCTCAGACAGCTGCTTCTGCAGGATGGCCAGCGAGACCTTGTTGGCTTCCAGGAAGTCCTTCATGGAGATCACCTCCCCCGAGGGACGCCGCCCATCCGTGTCGCTCTCCATCACCCCATCCGTTTCTATGGAGATGTTGCACCGGTTCTGGACATTGCCCGGCATGATCACATTCCTCCGTGACCGCGGGAGTCCACTTTGGCACTGCTGGCAGCACCCGCCATCCATTTTCCTCAGAATCCAGTTCACAGACTGTTTGATGAGGATGGAGATGACGTTGAACAAGGAGTAGATGCAGCAGACGCCCATGAGGATGAAGGCAAAGTTGGCGAAGCGGTAGAGGCCCTGGCTCTTATACTGGGCGTTCTGGCTGCTGACCAGGTCCCCGAAGCCAATGGTGCTGAAAGCCACGAAGCAGAAGTAGAGTGAGTCGAAGTAGCTCCACCCCTCGATGGAGGTGTACATGGCCGACGCGCAGCAGGAGACAAGGACCGAGGCCACGCACAGGATCAGCATGACGTAGTACACAGAGGGCTTCCAGCCGGCCAGGCCGTCCGCCTCGCGCTTCCCCGGGTTCTTCAGGCCCTCCTGGGGCAGGGCCCTTTGGCTCCGGAGCTGCTGCTGGTGGCACGACTTCATGATGTAGGCGATGACGGTGATCAGGCGCTCCAGGAAGAGGTTGAAGAACAAGATGGTGCTTGCGCACCCAATGAGGCCATACAAGATCAGAAAGGTTTTCCCTCCTACTGTCGCTGGCGTCGTCATCCCAAACCCTGCAGGAAACAAAAGTCAGAGGAGAGAAGAGTGAGGGAGGTCTTTGTTGCGACTGGGGTCAGGGTCTTGGCTTGGATGGCTGGTAAAGGACCTAAAGCAACAGTTTCACAAAAGCCCTCAGTCCTGGCCTTTCTGGGAATGAGAGGGAAAGGTCTCATTTCCTTTTGGAGACAACCAAGCTCAGAGCTGGGGCCATTGCACAAATCAGAAAAAGGCACCTCGTCCTGCAGGTGGCTACAGCTCATGAAAAATGGCTTGGTGATGAGAATGCAGGCTGGATTTCTACCTCTCCTCCCCAGCCTGCTAGACGTCCTTGTACAATACACAACCTGAACAACCATACTCAACAGGCATCGTTCAGAGAGATAAACAGAGGCTCACACAAAGGAAGGCTTATACAGTCACACTGGGATTCACTTAATCTATAAAAGGTTATTGAGTGCCATTCCAGAAACGGGGGATATACCTGTGGAAAAGACAGATCTGGTCCCTGACCTCAGGGAGCTCTAGTCTAGGGAGCTGATGACTCTATTGTGTGGCAAGTGCTGTGCTGGGGGACATGCAGTATCCCACGGGAGGGGCTCAGAGGGGAGCCCATTTCAGACTTGGGGTTCTGGGAAGACTAGGCAGGGAGATCTGAAAGTCAAAGAGGACTTAGGCAGGCAAGGGAGGTGTGTGTGTGTGTGTGTGTGTGTTGATGGTGGTGGTGGTGGTAATGGTGTTGCAGAGAAACAGCAGATGCCAGCGTACATAGAGAGGAGACATTTGCTCAATATTATCTCATTTTTAAATAAAATTCTCCCATGCTTTGGGAGTGAAAGCGGAGGTGTTGGTTGGTAAAATATAAAATATCCCTCTTGCCGTTGTCTCTTGCTGTTCACAGTTTCCACCTCCTTGACCTTTCCACCCATGCACACAGACATGTTACTAAGAATACTCACTGCAGGACAACGGATGTCACTAAGAAAAATGAACAACAGAAGACAGCAGTGGTACACTTGGCAACAATCAGAAGAGAGAGAACTTTCTCATGTCGCAAATGGTGTCTTTTTTTTTTTTTTAAAGATTTTTATTGGGGAATTGGAGGAATGGGAACAGCGCTGGGGAATTGGGGGAAGGGGAACAGACAAGTTGCTGTCCTTTTGTTCTTCAGGCTAGTTGTGGAGGACGTTGCTTCACTGGCCCAAGTTGGCACCATCATTGCGCTCTTCCCGGGAGAGGCAGATCAGTTGCCGGCTTCTGGACGGCCGCTAATGGCGGCTGCTGGCCGCTCACGCTGNTAGATAGATAATAGATAGATTCTGATTAAGAAGGTCTGGGGAGGGCCAGACGAGTGGCTCAGTTGGTTAAGAGCCTGAGCTCTGAGCAACAGGATTGCTGGTTCGATTCCCACATAGGCCAGTGAGCTGTGCCTGAGCTGAGCTGCCAACAGGTGGCAGCACGGCTCAGCTGGTGAGAGCATGTGCTCCTAACAACAAGGTTGCCGGTTCGACTCCCACATGGGATGGTGGGCTATGCCCACCCGCAACTAAGATTGAACATGGCACCTTGAGCTGAGTGGCCGCGAGCTGCCAACAGGCAGCTGGATGGAGACTGGACTTGGAGCTGAGCTAGCTACACCCTCACAACTAAGATCAAAGAACAACAACTTGGCTGTTCCCCTTCCCCAATAAAATCTTAAAAAAATAAAAAGGTCTGGGGAAAGGCCTAAAAATCTGCATTAAAAAAAAAATCTCCCTAGGTGATTCTCGTGATTTAGAGGAAGTGCCCTCTGGCAGGTAATGCCGTAATTACTTCAATTCTAAGGCCAGCTGCTGGGAAGGCTAAACAAAATCCAATCCACAAATGTCCTAGGATGGCATAGAAATCTTCTACCCAAGGACAATCTTGAGGGGATGTTTAAAAAAATGTCCCTTATAAACAAAAAAGCAAACCTTATGCATAAATCCAGGTCGCTAATTCATTACCTTCACCTAATACCTTAGTGGGAGCAGTTTCCAGAGTCGTTATTTTGGTGTCTGGGCAATTTAAGGTAATCAGAAATGGCTCTGATGCAAAACATAGATTCAGTTCTTGGAGGCACTGGGATCTGGCAATAGTGGCATAGCCTGATGCAGACACAGGCTGGGCCCCAGGGGATGGTCTCTTTCCTCATCCTTCATAGCTCACGCTCAGGACAGCAGTCTCTATTGGAAAAAAGGAAAAAAAAATCTGGAGAACGTGTTAAAATACAGATTGCTAGGTCCTTGCCCTTACAGGTTCTGATTCCTTACTTTGGGTTTGGGTCCTGAGACTTTGCATTTCCAAGTTCCGAGGTACTGCTGCTGTTGCCGCCACCATGTCTGGGGACCACTCAAAACTAACTGCTTTAGGTCAGTGGCCAAGACCTGCTGAGGACGTGGGAATTGAATTGGAACCACAGGTGTATGTTCAAGTCACGGCCCAAGTCAAGGTGTAACTGGCTGTGTGCAATCTTGAGAAAGTCTTGGTTTCTTTCTTTTTAATTTTTTAGTTTGAGATTAATTTTAGACTTAAGAGTTCAGTTGTAAAAATAGTACAGAGTTCGTTCGCATTTACCTTTTACCCAATTTCCCCTTATGCTAACTAACACCTTACATAACCATAGAGAAAGCATCAAAACTAAGAATTTAACCTTAGTACAGGACTATTAACTAGCCTACCAAAGTTATTGGATTTCACCCCCGTTTTCCCACTAATGTTCTTTTTATGTGCCAGGATCCATTCCAGGATCCCACGTTGCATTTAGTTGTCATGCCTCCTCAGTCTCGTTCAATCTGTAATAGTTCCTCAGTCTTCTTGTCTTTCACGAGCTTGAGGCTTTTAAAGAGTACTTGTCAGTGATTTTGTAGTATGTCCTTCCCTTTTGTCTGTCTCCTGTTTTCTCATGATTAGACTGAAGGCGTGTGTTACTGGGGAGGATGCCACAGAGATGCTGTGCCTTCTCATTGCATCATTTCAGGTGTCATGCAATGTTGGTGTGTACTACTGGTGATGTCAGCTCACTTGATTAATGTGTCTGTCAGAATTCTACATTGGGAAGTTGCCGTTTTTCTCTCTGTGATTACTAAATATTCTGGTGGAGTTCCTCTGAGACTACAAATACCCTGATTCTGCTTAAACTTTTACATCACTAATTTTAGCATCCATCAGGGGCTCTTTCCTACAGCAATTGCCACTTTGATGTTTTCATGGTAATTCTCTAGTTCCCTAATTCCTTCTGTGTTTATTCATTGGAATTCTTCTGTATGAAAGGGTTGTTCCTTCTATGGTTGACGGTCTCTGACTTTGGAGCTGCACAGCCCTAAGTTCAAAGCCCAGGGCTGCTA